ACTCAATGTATGTAATATACACGTCATTATAAGGCAGCAGTTCATATATCTTTCAATTCAAAAATATTTACTCGCAGCTTCAACAAGGGTTTGCTATGCATTATATAATTGCAAAAAGCTAGAAAAAATARAACATTTGCTTTTAATAGAAATAAAGAAATTGAAATGGTCTACAAGTAAATGCTTCCTTTTGTCTTTTTCACTATTCCCTTTTAACAAAGTCTCATAATGCTCTATTTTGTTWTGTGTTTTAAAGCRAATAGTTATATAATAAATTGGTTTAAATTTGTGATGAACAATAACTACAATAACCATTCAATTAACARTTTAGAAAAATYWTTCTTGTCTCTATTTATGATACAGATACATTTTTTCCTAAGGGCACAAATTTCTGATTAAACTCCAAGTTGTTATGTCAGTACCTCCTAAGAACTCTGTAAAACTTATAAATACATTAGTCTTGCTTTGAAGASCAAAAGGCAATATAAGCAAGATGGGGATTCATGCAAAAGGGCTCACCAGTGAAATTGTGCATTCAAAAAAGGTTCTTCATTCAAAATATATGAATAGCATACTATACTTTTTTTGTCAATGTGTCTTCACACTACTTARGAAATTGCTCAATACAAAGAACAAAGATTACAGTATATCAAATTTATAACTGGCTAGCCCTCTTTACCCCTAATGAGTTCATTTGTTGCATGTAATGTTGATTAGTTTTCAACTGTAACACTGTCAAATATGAAGAGAAAAATGTTTTTGATTTGATTAAAAACCCCTTTTCGACCACAGTTTTTTGTGGTGGTTGATCCATGCATTTAGCTTAGCATAATCTAAACTTATGAGTGGGCTTCTTTGGAATTTGGGAAAAGATGTGTGTTCTCTGCCCTCCACATAATGTTCATCAAAAACTTTAGCTTTCTTGTGAAGCTCGTCAACCATGGCCAGGAAATCTGCTTCTGATCTTGAAACTGTGTGTTTTCCTGAGGGGCCTCTTATATAGAGATCAGAGTCAATTGAAGACAGCAAATCTTCAATTGGCTTGATTGCTCTGCTACATCTTAATGCAGCTGGTGGGTGTAGATTTGCACCAAGATTTCCAAGCATTTCTTTTGTCAGKTGCACAATATGCTCYATACGTAGATCAAGGGATATATTATTTCCAGCTCCCCCATTCTTGTTCACCGTCCTATTCCAAATCAGACTATGTGACTTCTGAGGGGATAACATGGCTTTGATGTTTGCTAAAAGTTGTAATGACGCCAGTGCATACTTAGTGTGGCCATGTGCTTTAAAGAGTAGCAGCATGTACTTCCAGCACCTCACAATTCTCGCTCCATCTCCTTCCTTAACTGCATCGTTGAAATTATGAATCAGCATACCAAGACTTAGACGCACACACGCATAGTTGTAGATGTAATCTTGCTTCTCTTTTTTGGGGGGATCAGTTGGAGTAGTTGGTTTATCTTCAGTAATATCAACATTATGTTTTGACTTTAGGTGATTGTCTCGAGCCTTCTTATACACATAGGTGATTCCACATTCACTGCATGGATAAACGGGACGCTGCTTTGGCTGATTTAGCTCTTTGACTGTTTCCACCATTTTCTCATATTCCTCTGTTTGTTTTTTCATGACATTTTTCTCTAGGATGGTTTTGACTTCATTGTGAAGCCAACTTTGCTGGACTTTCTTGGAAGCTGCTCTTTTGCAATCAGGAATGATCTTTTGTTCCAGTGATTTCATGTTGAAATGTGTCATGGTAGCTGCGACTAAATATGCTTCTGTTTCAATGTCAACAAAATCTTTACATGGATTGAAGTTATCAAGAACGTCTTTGGTTTTTG